ATGTGTAGCCACTAGCCGTGTAGGTATTAGGTAGAGAGCCTTTATAGTTTATAAAATATAATATATTATATATTATCTAGGCTCTCTAGTATTAGGTATTAGTATTAGGTCTTAAAATGTTCAATTATATTTTTACCAAAAAGTAAAAACTGTATAGGTAATAAACTACCCTTTTATGACCCTCCTTGTTCATTTTGAAATATTTTGCGCCATCTATTTGAACACAGTGATAGTTTTTACTTTAGTTCCTCCATGACAAAATTACCTCAATTTTTTATGGTTATATAATAGCAATAGTTTATAATCTCCTTTATTCGTTTGTGACCTGTAATAAATCATAGCCAAATATTATTAATATTATTCTATGTTATAAATCGTTGATGATCGATCGATAAAAAGTTACCTATGTACTATTAATATATTTTAATAATATTTAATGATTAGGTATACTATTTTACTATTATTAATTGTATACCTACCTAACTAATATTAAATATTATTTAATATAATGATATAAAAATAATTTGAAAAAGACGTTCCTCTAGGTCAAGTTTTATAGAAAATAATCTATAAACCTTACCTCTAGCTGATATTTTAACAGGTAGGTACGTGGTATATCTAATCACGTTTTTCTTATCAGCGTTCGAAGCCATAACCTCTAAAATCGTGTTTACAAAGCAGGCTATCAAGTATCAATATTATAACTGTCTTGCCTTGTAACTTATTCAAACAATTGAACAGATAGAATTTTACCGGTGGACGGGAATTATTATTCAACAATATTTATTCGTTTTATCGCTTTATTCTAATACATTTTATGTAGGTAAGATAATTTATTATACTCAAGTGTTCTTGTTTTATATGGATGTGCAATTTAAACGAGAAAGTTGTGGATGAACATTACATTCTTGTGTAACATTATGTAATACGATTTATTGCAAGGTACCTATGTAAATTATAATTAAATACATTTTAAAAACAAAATTACTGCAAAAGTATAAAAATATTTTATTCGATTCTACAGTGGGTGGAAATTGATGAGGGTGCCAAATACCCATATTGTGCTTATTTTTTTTGAATTCTGAGTGGAACGATGATTGATTGATTTTACAATATGTGTTTTTTTTTTAATTTTTAAGTTTTTTTTGTGTCTGTCATAACCTTTTAGGATTTCCTAATAGTTTTCAAAAGCGCCGTGAAAAACAAAAGAAAAATTAAGGAAAAACGGGAATTTTTACGGAAAATCTATTTTCGAGAAAATCGATTTTCGTTTTTGGTGTAACTCTAAAACAAATGAACGTATATACATACAATTTTCAATAGTTGTTTATATTTGCATTTTCTATACACGATAACATTTTCAAAATATTTTGATTTATTTTGACCTGTTTAGGGACATTTTCAATTTCCATTTTTTTTTAGTTTTTTTTCTAAAAATATCAATAAAATTTTATTTGTTGGTTGCGAAAGCTTGAAAATTTAATAGAAGGCTCCTAGTATATTGTTTCAAAGGCAGATGAAAAATATTAAAAATCCTTAGTCACAATTTTTTTTTATAAGCATTTAATTTTCAAAAATTGACAAAATATGGAAAAATCACGAAAATTAGCAAATTATTTTGAGTTAAGAATTCGTAAAAATTTTTATTTTTAAATCTAAGATTTGAAAATATAATACAAGATACCTTATAAGATTATCTACCTTTATCAAAAAAAAAAATATCTATAAGAATGTCAAATCAAATTTTTATGAGCGTTTGAAATTCAAATTTTTACAACATTGGATATTCACTCGATTTCTCATGTAGCGATTTCTTTATTTTGTTGTAATTCAGAAACGAATAACTGCAGATACATGAAAATTTCACTGAATGTTTATATAAGCATTTCCTATACGCCATACCATTTTGAAAATATTTGACTCTTTTTGAGTTGTTTACGGACATTTTCAGTTTTCAATTATTTTAGTTTTTTTTCTCTTAATATCAATAAAGTTTTATCAGTTTTGACAAAAAGTGTAAACATTTAATACAAGGCTCCTGATATATTGTTTCAATATCAGTTGAAAAATTTTAAAAATACATTAGCACAATTTTTTTTTATAAGCATTTAAAGATCGAATTTTGACAAGATTTATCAAATTTAAAATTGAATAATTATTTTGTAGTTAAAAATTTATAAAATGTTCAACTTTTATATCTAAGGATTGAAAGTTAAAACAAGATTCTGCGTAAGTAGTTAATTCTGTTACCGAAAAATCTAAAAATACATATCCACAGTTTATTTTTATAGTCATTTTAAGTTCAAATTTGGATGAAATTACATAAAAAAAACCTAGAATAACTATTTTAGTTATTTCGTTGTGATTGTATAGTATTATTCGTGGGTACTTGAAATAGTAAAAATTGAATACAAGGCTCCTGATGTATTGTTACAATATCAGTTGAAAAATATTTAAAATACATATTCACAATTTTTTTTTATAAGCATTTAAAGATCGAATATGGCATAATTTATCAAATTTAAAATTGAATTATTATTTTGTATTTAAAAATTTATAAAATGTTCAACTTTTATATCGAAGGATTGAAAATTTAAAACAAGATTCCGCGTAAGTAGTTAATTCTATCACCGAAAAATCTAAAAAATAGGTACATTGTCAAATTTAATTTTTATAGTCATTTTAAGTTCAAATTTGGATGAAATTACATAAAAAAAACCTAGAATAACTATTTTAGTTATTTCGTTGTGATTGTATAGTATTATTCGTGGGTAAGTACTTGAAATTTCTAAAGTACACTATTATATATCTATGATAGTATTAGGGTTTGTTGTTGATGTATGACGCGTTATAAGTACCAAATGGATATTGTGATATGATTAATTTGGAATTTAGTATAGGTACCTATAGGTAATAGGTCAATTTTTTTTAATACCATAGACTAGTATATAACATGCCTTATACCTAGACTGACATACCGCCTCCGCTCAGAATCGTTTTTCTTATACAATGATATAATATCATTGAATTCAAATGTAATACCATCTATTATACAGTGACCTCCTTGTAACCTACTGTACAGCAGAGCACATTTTTTTTTACTTTTGACTTTTTTAAATAGGTACACAAGCCCAGATTAAGGATCAATATTATAAGTACCAAACGGATATTGTGATATGATTAATTTTTAATTTATTATAGGTACCTATAATAGTTCAATTTTTTTTAATACCATAGATAAGTATATAATATGCCTTATACCTAGACTGACATACCGTCTCCGCTTAGAATCGTTTTTCTTATACAATGATATTATATCATTGAATTCAAATTTAATACTATCCATTATACAGTTACCCACTTGTAACCTACTGTACAGCAGAGCACCTTTTTTTTTACATTTGTTTTACTTAGGTAGCAGTTAACTGTTCATTTAAAATCATGTTAATAATTATAATATAAATAATATAAAATAAAACATGGTGGGTATAAATTGTTGTTAACACAGTCTACATTCATTTTATAAATTATCGTTAGTAATTGATTATGAATTATGATAGTCCACGCTGGTTATAACTTGTAATCAAAATAGATGTATAATTTGTATTAATTCCTTACTTCGTCTGATCAATAAGAGTTGAATGAATACAACTACAAAGACTTATAAAATTTTAATTCAGATATATGTTTTTGAATTAATTTGATTTAGTTATTTTGTAACTGATCATTTCTATACTAATTACTAGATATTTAAAGCAAATTGAATTTCTTTGAAAAACTATTTTATTTATTTTATTGTTTAACCTGTTATTTTAAACCAATTTTTATAATTAAACAATATAATTTTATTATAATATTAATTAGGTATTATGTTTAAACTTAAAATTAGTAATTAGTGATTATTTCTGTACAATTTACAAATAAAAGTTATAGATCATAATATTAGTTTGTTTATAAGTTAATCTTACTTACTGAACTTATTGCCCCTAAAATAATTAAAATATACCTACATTATTATTATTTTTAATTATTTATTACAATTAAAAAAAAAAAAAATACTGTATTATCCTACCCTTTAAAAATGACTAGCGTGCTACTGGGCCAAGAAACATTAACATATTAACAATCTTACTAAAAATTACCATTGGGATACAATATATTATAATCAACTTTAATATAAGCATACAAATATACAATTATCTATTAGGTGAGCTATTAATTATAATTATTATTGAGACAACGTATTGAATTATTGAATTTAGCATAGGTATCATATTTATATTTATATAAGTTTGTATGACATTTATTAATAGAATTATAGACATAAGTAATATATATATATATATATATATCTTGTGGGTTACTTATTTGAAAATAATTTAGTAGGTTTTGCTTTCCTTTACTTTTTTATTTATGTGTAATTTGTATTTGTTTCAGAATTTTGTGGATGAATCATTTCTTAAGCTATAAATTTACAAATATAATTTTGTAATTTAGTTTATTTTTAAACAAGGTAAGTTTAGTCTTACTCGTTTTAAGGTCTTTTTTTTTACTTTTGTTAGATAAACATTTTAAAATAAATACTCATAATGATATTATTTTGTTTTACCTATATAAATAGAAATTAAGTATACTCTGTTCCAAGAGAGAACATGCTGGTTCTGTGCATCCCCTCCATCGAAACTGGTTCCCCTATAGTAGGGGGTTGCTTGGGAGTTACGCAGAAAAACCAATTTTGGTCAGGCCACAGCATGTTTTCTCTTGAAATAGAGTATAGGTGTGTTTCAAATTTAATTAATGTGTATCTCTTAGTAAATTATACAACAATATATATGTTTATATATTTTTTATAGTGAGAATATAATAATTTATCATAGTAAATAAATGTTTCATACTCTGTACTTTATAGGTAATAACTTATAAAATACATCATTGAAGATATTAGTTTTTTTATTGCTATTTGTTTATATATTTAATTATTTTTATTCAGGCTGATTAAAATGGCTTTATTCGATCTGAGAAGAGAACTTCATTCTAGAGGACCTCCAGTGAATTTGAATAAAAGTGTGTCCACAAATAAACATACACTACACTTTGATGGCCGTTTTGTTAGCAAATCAGACCAATACCAGTTAGAATCGTATGGTTTATATACACCTAATCCTGTACTTGAAGGATTAAGTATATCGCATAAGAATAAATTAATATGGTCGGCTCGTTTATCGGATAGTCTATGGGCATGGTTTGTTTATGGCCGCAAACTTCTAGTATGGAATGCAGAAAACAATAAAGAAAATAAAACAAATTCTTGTTTTGAACTCGGATTACCAGCATGTGAAGTGGCTCATCAAGCCGCTTTAGTTTGGGTTTTTGAACCTGAAATAGGAAAGTCGTCATCTCATTCTTGTTGTATAGCTGTGTCTCCTGAAGGGTTGATACGTTTTTGGAGAGATGTCTATGACGAAGTTGAATATTTTGAATACAATACTGATTTGATGGGAAAAGAATGTGAATTCCTATATCAAGTTGACAGTTCAAGGTACATTTTGTTGACAACTACTGCTGATTTGGTTATGGTAACAATCAACATATATACTGTTCGCCCTCAAATAAGTAGTAAAATATTGATTGAATCTACTGGTTGGCTGGGTAATATATCTATGAACATATCATCTCTTGTTTTTGGTTCAACTGGTCAACAGATTGACCCTAAAATCATATGTGGCTGCGTTTTAAAAAGTTCTTCTGATTATACTGAACGCATATATATAGTTACAACTAATGGTACAACCTTAACTAAGTGGAATGTTTCAAAACCAAATAACGAGAAACAATTATTTGAAGTTAACTTGGCAAATTCTTTACAAGAAAAATTTTCAAGTATGATGTTTAATAGTGTTAGTACTGGTGATATGGGTATGGAAATAATTGACATGAAACCAACTAATAATCGTAGTGAAGAGGTTATTGTTCTTGTACACACCAAACCAAACCAAGATTACAATTATTATATCTTAGCAACCATACAAATTCAAGATAGAATGTGTCCAATTACTTCATTACATGTTCTCAATAATGATGAAAATTTCTACTTGAATGAATCTACACCTCAGCTGCTAATTACTGATCAACAAGCATTTATTTTGTCTAAACATTATGTCCTTGTTGTTACTTTTGAACCATTCAAAACTGATGTGATTGGTGTTGATTGTGATTTAAAATTTGGTGGAGGTTCAGTGGTAAACAATTACGCTATGTTTTTCACTCAATCTCATTGCTCAACTGTAGTTACTAAAATAACTAACTTGGAATACAATTTCAATGAATCAAGAAGTGTTCTTCAATCTCCAGATTTAAATCAATCCATTGCTATAACTGCTGGAGTAGAAAGTGGTAGCAACGAAACTAGATTGAAATCCGCTTTTCTACAGTTTGTCAGCCGAAAAATAGACAATTGCAGAGCACTAGTGTAGCAAGCATGTCCAGAAGAATTGACTTCAACTGTTGAATCTAACCTAGATAAAACCGTATTTAAAGTTGGAGAAGATCTTGTTAATGATATACCCATCAATGATCCACGTTGGTTAGGTGTTCATGGTGAACCTACTATCAGATCATCATCAATGGTAATATTAAGTCATTTAGAAGAAAAACAGCAAGCAATTCATTGGTATCTTAAATTTTTACAAGAGCTTGGATTATGGAATCGTTTGAGGCAAATTAATAAATACGAAACTCAAGTCTATACAGGATGTGCTTTAAGAGATTTAAGTGAAAAATTACAAGCTACATTAACATTTAGAAAAATTGAAGTTGAACATAGTGAATTATTAGATACATTAATAAAAGAAGCAGTCGAAAGCAATTGTGATGGTTATTCTTCACCACCAGGCCTTACACACATTGATAAGTTTTATAAACAAGTCAGCATGTCGCACATTCTTTTCCAGAGACTATGTATATACAGTGAAGAAATTTCTTCTACGAATCGTAGTGCTATAGATATTTGTTTATTTTTATGCAATGTCAATAGGATATTAGTGAAAGTACTCGGTGCTGTATTAGACTACAGAAGACAAAACATTGAATTTTTCCCTATTGAAAAACAAAAACAATTAAAAATATCTTGGATTCTATGTGAAAATAATGAAGGCATATGTTCTGTCGTTCTGAGCTGATAAAACAAATAAATATTAGTCTTGAATTTGCCAGAAAGGCAAATATTACCAAAGAAGTTCGTTCAGAAATTTCTGATCAAGTTGCATTTTTAGTAGATGCCTTACTATCCAGCTCTATTGATGTACTTTCTGAAATGGACAGTAATTACACACAACTCAGATATAAGCTACTAAAGAAACTTATGAACTTTAAAGAACACTACAAAGTAATTGAATTGGCTGAAAAATATGCAGACCATAGAATTATAGTAGAGGTTTGTTTTGAAACAAACAATATTGATTTATTGTATAATTTTATGGACAAACTTAACCATAAAAATTTTCGTCAAACCGTGTTTTCTTGGTACTTAAAACGAGGTAAAATTGTAGAATTGTTACGTAATTTTTGTCGCAAACCTAAATATGAACATGACATAGCATTAGCAATGGAAGCCTATCCAAATTATGGTTGGATTGCTGGAAGTCTTTCTGAAAATATTAACCTAACATGTGAATCCCTAAAACAGTGCTGGACTAAGGAGGAAACAAATGTGCTTAGAAAAAAATACCAATTGAATTTATACAGAATGGCGGTTTTGGCAAAAAATGGGCCATTAGCTAAGAACCCAGAGTTAGATCAAATAGATAGACATTTAGAAGTCATTGAACATCAGATAAATATTCCTGAGTGTGTCTTAGAATTATTGAATTTAGATTTGAATAATATGCATGTGTTATCTCCTGAAGAAATGTTCAATTTATACTTGCATAAAAACAATAGCACCTTGGATGAAAACCAATGTCTATGTGCTTTGTCTGTGTTACAATTTATTCAAAATAAAGAAAAATGTGAAGATCTCAGTCACTATTTGTGGTGCGAAACAATATTAAGGGAGACATTCAAATATCCACTCCATGACCAAGAGATTGGTGATCCTATTGAGTTTGTACACAATCTTTTATTCTTTAAGACCTTAAAACTCGTGTACAACAAAGGCCTATTAGATATCTTACCATCCTTAGACTGGTTGTTGTTTGCTGATGAATTAGAAAACTTCCATTCAAATACTATGTGGCAGTTTGTTATGAAAATGGGATTTGAACATTGCTTAAGACCTGCTAGTGTTAGTATGGATTTTGAAACTTCACTTCTTCAGTAATTTATAAATATTGATTTCAAAATCTATTAATTTTTTTTATATACTTATGTGTATTATTTTAATGTTACATACTTAATGTTTTTAAAAATAAATAATAAATAATGAAAATAATTTAAGTCTATTAAATATACTTGATTTATTATTCTAATTTTTTACTGATATACTATTTTAATTGTGTTCCTACAAACAAATGCAATATTATTAAATAACCATTATTCTAGTTCAACGTTTAAACAATAGTATTAAGCTGTTTAATGAAATGTTACTTATAGCAAACTTTTTTTAGAATTTAGTTATTATCCGAAAAAAATTATGTATTCTAACTATATAAGTACCATTGATTAAATATACAAGTATATTTAACCAATGTTAGTACTCACAGTAGGTTCTATAAATATTATTTATATAGTTGTTTTAAATAATTTGAAATTATTGTTACTACTTATGATCTTTATTAATTCATTATCAACAAATAAAGGAAAAAATAAAGTTTCTACAAAAAATAATATGCACAGCTAATAATTCACTAGGTACCTATGTAATTTCAAAATAACTAAAATAATTAATAAGTAATAATTAATCAGTCATCATGCTAGATACTTAATAAAGCTATTTAACGTCACTTATTTCAGAAATGTTCCTTGCGTTATATGGTGTTATATGGTGGTTATATAAATCATTAGTTTGGTGTATAAACATGAGCTGGGCTTGTTTTTCAACTAGTTTAAGTTAAGTTATTAAAAATATGACTTAGAATAAAAGTTAGTTTCTGAAGTTTACCGAATTTCTTACTTAGTTATAAGTTAGTTCAGTGAAAAATGTAACATAAGTTAGAGTTGAAGACTTGAAGTTAGAAATTAGTTTTAGATTCTGAGTGAGATTTTTATAAAACCCATATATTATATTACATGTAGAAGAATGATTTTTGGCGGGGGCAGTCTATCAGCTGTAGGTATAAAATGGCATATTATGTTTTTTGATTTTGCTATTAAAGTAATTAATTGTATTAGTATTATTATAGTACCTATTATGGTAGGGTGATTGAATTTATAATATAACGTCCCGTATAACAGTGTGAATATAGGTTCATAGTATAAATAGGTAGATAGTAGCTTATAATTAATCTAATTATTTTAAAATTGTGATTTAATTTTGCGTTAAAAGTTTCAAGTAAGTATCCATAAATAATGTTTTTAAATTACCTACAACAAAATACCTATCTGAAATTGTTATTCTTTATTTAAATATTTTATCTGTTCTAAGTTTGAACTTAGAATATATATTAATTATAATTTTTGGTAACAGTATGAACTACTTACTATAGGAATTGTTTTATTATAATTTCTAGCCGTAGGTAAAAGATTGAACATTTTACAGGTAAATGTACAACTAGAGTTCGGAACTTGTTATAGTTGTTGCACTATAAAATTATCAGAATATAATATGCAGTCAAGATCGTCAAAAAAGCTTAAACTAAACAACTAATTTTAGATTCTGAGTGCAACGATGAATGTATTGATTTTACAATGATGTGTGTTTATTTATTTTTTTATTTTTTTGTGTCTGTGTACACGATAAGTAGTCGAAATAATGCTTCGATTTTCGACTTCAGCATCTTGTTCGATTGGAAAGTGAAATTAATGAAAATTCTATAAGAAAGTCAAATTAAATTTTTATGAGCGTTTGAAATTCAAATTTTTAAAACATTGGATATTCACTTGATTTCTCATGTGGCGATTTCCTTATTTTGTTGTAATTCAAAAACAAATTACTGTAGATACATGAAAATTTCACTGAATGTTTATATTAGAATTTCCTATACACCATACAATTTTGAAAATATTTTGACTCTTTTTGAGCTGTTTAAAGACATTTTCAGTTTTCAATTTTTTTAGTGTTTTTTTTTTATAAATATCAATAAAATTTTATTTGTTTTGCCAAAAAGTGTAAAAAATTAATACAAGGCTCCTGATATATTGTTACAATAGCAGTTGAAAAATATTAAAAATACATTGTCAAAATTTTTTTTATAAGCATTTAAAGATCGCATTTTGACAAACTTTATCAAAATCTTGAAAATTATCAATCATCGTAATTAATCAATTATAAAATGTTCAGTTTTTATAGCTAAGGATTGAAAATTTTAAAAAAAGATTCTCATAAATAGTTCATACTGTAGCCAAAAAATCTAAAAAATATATGAGCACAGTTATTTTTTACAGACATTTTAAATTCAAATTTGGACGAAATTACATATTAAAAAACCTAGAATAACTATTTTAGTTATTTTGTTGTGATTTAATAATATTATTCGTGGGTTCTTGAAACTTCTAAAGAGTACTATTATATATCTATGATAGTATCAAGGTTTTTGTTGATGTATAACGCGTTATAAGTACCTAATGGATATTGTGATATGATTTATTTTAAATTCATTATAGGTCAATTTTTTTTTAATACCATAGTTATGTATATAATATGTCTTATACCTAGACTGACATACAATCTCCGCTCAGAATCGTTTTTCTTTTACAATGATATTATATCGTTGAATTCAAATTTAATATCATCCATTATCCAGTGACCCATTTGTACCCTACTGTACAGCAGAGCGACACCCACTTGCCCACCTTTTTTTAGTTTAAAAGTAACTTTTTAACTAGTTATTGCCTAGTTTTGAACATGAGCCAAGAGGAAACACCGTTATGGGTTTTAACACAAGGTAATAAAATACAAGTTTTAAGAAAAAGTTGAATCTTGCATGTGGGGCTGGAAAGGTATTCACAGAAAAAATGTAAAATTGATGCATATTCAATATTAGTAAATTGTCATATGCAGTTTAAACTTAAAAGTAAAAATAAAATAATCTATCAGGTACAATAATAATAATCTAAAATAGTGGCCATAAAAAATTTGGCCAGACAGTGATACTGTTCAATAGGTTCCTACGAGTGATTGTATGTTAAGGTGGACTGTAAACCAATTTTGATTAACATCCAAAAAGGTTAGGTTAATCTAACCTAACTAAACTTAAACAAATTGCAGCTAAAAATTATGTCACAGATAAAGATGTAAAACTGTAGAAGTTATTTAAGTCTATAATAACAAAACAACTTAAGACCTAATATCTGAAAAACAATGCCCAATAAAAGCAAA